AAATCCTAATTACAAGTTGTTTACAAGACCTTTTTTTTTTGATTGACAGTTTCACTTTTGTAACTGCTCTCTTCAAGATAAAAAAAATATTTTAATGTAGCAGTAGAACGCTAACAATAAAGATGATTTATTCACTTACATCAAAATAACAAATGCAATGTACTTTGTCGCATTCTGAATGCTTTTTCTTATTATACAAAGTTAAACCAATATCCTTTTGTTATACCAATATCCTTTTGTTATACCAATATCTGTAAAAGATAGGATTTAATTTAAATCTTTAGGATTTAATATATTATCTAATGACCATATAGCTTTAATTTTAGGTATTTCAAACCATTTAACTCTCACAATTTTACCTTGAGACTCCCGGTTATATAACGAATCTCACAGTTCTGCCTTGAGACTCACGTTTATATAACGAATCTCACAGTTTCATGGTTGTTTAAAATTTTCCACGGTAATCTTTAAAACGCTCAGAAAACGTTTTTTCTTATTTACTTTCAATGTTTTAGCTGTTATTAATATTGTTTTCAAATAATGTAAATATGTCCTTGGTTTAAATAATAATAAATACATACATTATGCGTGGAACAGCTTACCATCTGAAATAATAGAAGCTACTTCAATAAATAACTTCAAAAACAAACTAGACAGAGCTGGATATTGCAGAAACTATTTGTTAAAACACAAACAAAAGACAAAATGAGCTGTTACAGTGCAATATCTTATGTTATTGCACTTAGAAACTGTTTAAAACAGTTGTTACAGTTATACAATATTATATTATTATATTATGAATGCATATGTCTTTGGTTTGATTGATAAAAAGTTTTATATATAAATACTGAAAATACATTGCGTTGATATTTAAATCTTTTTTGTTTTCAACTGTTTAAAACAGTTGTTACAGTTATACAATATTATATTATTATATTATGAATGCATATGTCTTTGGTTTGATTAATAAAAAGTTTTATATATAAATACTGAAAATACATTGCGTTGATATTTAAATCTTTTTTGAATATTATTTTAAATAAAAATAGTGGCAAATTAAAATGTCAATCTTCTTAGTTGTCAAGTAAAAGATTGTTATTAAAACTTGATTTGAAGAAAGAGTACTTTTTTAGATGATACGTTTCTTCAGTCGTTTCATTTGCCGTCAGATTATCTGTTAGCTTTAGGTGATGTAATTACTTTTATAATCTATTTTACAATCCCCTAACGTTTTATTAAAAGATTGATTTTGTTAAAAAAAAAGATGATGTCACTTAAACCTGAGACAAAAAATTTTTTTTAATTTAAAAAATTTAAAAAGAAAACTATATAGTCGGAGACTTAAATATGAACTGTTTTCTCTATAATGACGACCAAAAAATTAAGAATTTTTATGATGCAATTTTTGAAACAGGGTCAGTTACTTTAATAAATCACCCACTAGAGTAACAATCAACACAGCAACTCTTATAGATAATATTATAAATACTGATATTTTTTATAATAATATACAAATAGGTATCATAAAAACTGATATATCGGATCATTTTCCTCTATTCTTAAACTTAATAAAACAAACCCAGAAAAAAACAATAATATAAAAAAAAAAAAATAGAAAACGCATTTATAATAATTATAATTCATAATTAAATTATAAGTTATTTAAAGAACCAACATCATTAATGCATTGGAAAAACATAAATTTTGATGATAACGCAAATAATATTTATAAAACTTTTTTCAAAATATTTTTTTCTGTTTATGAAGTTATTTTCCCAATAGTAGAAAAAACAATAACAACTAAGAATATCAATACATCCTGGATTATTAAAAGTTTTAAAAAATCATCCAGAATAAAACAAAAGTTATACATAATTTTTTTAAAAACAAAAACAGCTTCAAGCAAAAAAATCTATAAGAACTACAAAAACCTATTTGAAAAAATTCTCAAAAACTTAAAGAAAAATTATTCCTCCCAATTATTCAATACATTTAAAAACGACATAAAGCGCACGTGGCTAATAATAAAAGAAATTATTGGCAAAAAAAAATCATGCTCCGATTTTCTGCCACAAATGTTTAAAATCGATAACAAAAGTTTATATGAACCAAAAACTATAGCTCAAGAATTTAACAAATATTTCACTCATATAGGACTAACACTGTCTGAAAAAATCCCTAAACCAAATCTTTGCTTACTGATTATCTAGAACCCCTGGATACATTTGTTCAGATGAGTTATCTTCCGAACTAATGTTTGATGAGTTTGAAAGAGCCTTTAAATCTGTTTAAAAAAATAAAGCAATTAGAGCAGATCAAATTAATGGAAACGTGGTTTTAGATTGCTTTGACTTTTTTGATAACTTAACGTTGTTCTTTTTAAAATCTTTTGGGGCTTCTATACATCAAAAAATATTCCCGGAACAATTAGAAATTGCAAAAACTATTCCTATTTTTAAAGAAGGGGACAAATCTGAAATCAGTAATTATTACCCTATCTCTGTTCTCTCCACATTTTCGAAAATTTTAGAAAAAATTATGTTTAACAGAATATACAAATATTTTCATGATAATAATTTACTTTACATCAATCAATTTAATTTCAAGAAAAATAACTCAACTGAACATGCAATTATCCAATTTGTACGTGAAATCTCAAAATCATTCAAAAAATCACAATATACACTAGGAAGTTTTATTGACCTATCAAAAGCTTTTGATACGGTCGATCACCATATTTTAATTTATAAACTCAAATATTACGGAATAAAAAATAAAATTTTAAAATGGTTTAAAAGTTATCTATCTAACCGAAAACAATTTGTACCATTTAACAATGATTACCAACTCACTTTTCTTAATATAACTTGTGGAGTCCACAAGGTTCAATTCTTGGACCACTCCTTTTTTTAGTTTATATAAATGATTTAAATAAAGCTTCAAAGCTAACAAGCATTATGTATGCAGATGATACAAATTTATTTGTTTCTAACTATGATATCGATGAACTTTTTAAAACAGTGAACAAAGAACTCAGTTATATATCTAATTGGTTCAAATGTAATAAGTTAACCTTGAATACTAATAAACAAAATGGGTTTTATTTCATTCGATTACAAAAAAGCAATTTCTCCCATCAAAATTACTTCAAATCTTTAACGATCGTAAGGAAATAAAAAGAGATTTTGTAACAAAATTTTTAGGTGTTTACCTTGATGAACCCATTACTTGGAATCACCATATTGATTATATACGCACAAAAATTTATAATAACGTTGGCATCCTATATAACTCGCGAATCTCAATAAGAAAGTCTTAATCCAACTTTATTATTCATTTATACATAGTTATTTAAATTATGCCAATATTGCTTGGGGAAGTACAGAAAAAAGTATGTTGCAACGTCTTTATCTCCGTCAGAAACGCGCAATCCGTATAATTAATTTTGCAAATCGCTTCTCTCATTCGAAGCTTTATTTTATTGAAATGAGAATTCTAAATATTTACGAGTTAAATATATTTAATATTTTATGTTTTGTATATATGGAGATAAATAACTTACCTCTAGCCGTCTTCAAAGATCTTTTCTCTTTTAAACCAGTCAGTAAATTTATTTTGAGAAATAATAACTTTTTAAATGAATCTTTCTGTCAAACAAACTTTAATCAATTTTGTATTACCTATCGAGCGCCACACGTTTGGAATAAAATTGTTTTGGCAAATTTTAATTTTGAAGTACCTATATTTTTTTTACCTTTTTAAAAAAAACTGAAAAACCTCATTTTTTCATTAGATAATATATTGAGTTATTATTAGTTGTAAAAGTTAAAAATATATTTTGGTCTACTTTTTTTTTTAATGTTTTTATACATGTTTATGTTTATAGAAGTTTATTCCTACTTATTTTATATATTGTTCTTATACTTTTTACTTTTTGATTTATATGTTGGTTTACTCTTGTATAAAAATCTGATGAAAAGATCCTCTTGATCTTTTTTTAGATACAGATTGTTTGCCTTGCAATTTTGTAAAAGTTTATTAATTTATTTTATGTTTGTTAAATGCTTTTTTAAGGTTCTGACGACAAGATCCTTGCAATCTTCTTTCAGATACCTTGTTTATGTTTGTTATGTTTTATGTCATTGTAAGTTTATATTATTATTTTTATTATGGGTTATTTAAAGCTGTACAATGATTAAAAATGTAAACCAAAAAAAAAATTTAATTTGTAAATTAATCCTTTTAATTATGATGTAATGTTTTCAAAAAACCATTGACATTTTACATTTTGAATGTTATCTTGGCGCTATGGAATTTTTAAATATACTTTTCCTTGCCTAACTATGATAAGGAAAAGCGCAAATCTTCAATAAAAAAAAAAATCTTCTCAATTTCAGTAAATTAGTACCCTTTCTTCTAATCACAAATTTTTTTAAAAAATTTCCGCCTACCCCTCTAACAATTAAAACGATTCCTGTCTTTTCTCCTCCCCTTTTTCCCCTCCTCCTTAATAGAAGTAGGAAAGGTAAAAAATTATCAGTATGGGCGATAAATACGTAACAACGTAATACTTATATATACGCAACAACGAATCGAATCCCGATCACAGCGTGTGATCGGGATTCAAGTCCCAAAAACTTCCAAATTTTACTTAAAAAACACGTTGCTTTTATATCGTTATTACAACGTTGATTAACGTTGATAAACATTAAAAAATCTATCGTTATTAACATATAACTTGATTATATAAGGGAATTATAAAACGTAGGAAATTTAAACATTCGGAATAAAAAGAATTCAAAAAAATATTTAGAAGTGACCCAATTTCATTTTTTCCTAAAATTTGAAGGCCGTTACCTCTAGGTTTAGTCTGGATTTCTCAGATAAGGGACTCTAAAAAACTAATTCTCGTGAGGCAGAAAATTATGGCGCAAAAGATCGGGAATAAAGTTGCGCTTTTATTTTACTATTTAAAAAAAAAATTATACTCAGTGTAAACAAAGCTCATAGCGCTGCAGTGTAAATTTCCAGGTAAAAGTAATAAATGCGGGATATATTTAACTTGTTTATAATAACAAACATTTTAGTTACCAGAATACAGTATTACTAAAGTGGATACATTTCCATTTTTAGAAGGTTTTCATATTTTCTTCAATTAAGAAGAGTATTTTATTTAATTAACTAAAAACGTAAGTGTATACAATAAATTACACTGTTTATTACATAGAATAATATCACACTATTATTTATTATATAGTAAAAACCAATGAGACTCTTAAAAATATATTCATTAATATTATTATTGATGTATCCTACTTTAAGATAGATTTAGTTGATAATTAAAGTTTTTCCAAAAATTGATTCTAAATGTAATATTTGTTTAATGTTTTATATTTAGCAACACATGTAGTTTTAAAATGGATGAAAAAACCGGCTCTAGTAAAAATACTAAAAGTAAAGCTAAGTTTTACAATGATATTGGTTTTGATGATAATTTTACAATTCCACCTATAAGTGCTTCTTTCCCCACTGAGCCTGTTATTGAAAAAAATTCTTTTAATCGTTTTTCAACTGTTCATCCAAGCCCAATGGTTTGTTATGTTCTTAGATTAAGGCGCGGGGACGAACTCAGAAAGTCCCTGATAGCGTTTGCAGAAGAAAAAAACTTAAAGGCTGCCTTTGTCATTACTTGTGTTGGAAGTGCAAAATCTGCAAAACTGAGATTAGCTAATACAGCTCAAAATGTAGAATCTCACTATGTAAGTACTTAAGTTTTACTAAAACTTATAATAAATGTTAAAAAACGTTTCATATCTTTAATTATAAGTTTAATAAAATCACACATTTCTTAAAAAATTTTATCAATACAACCTCATTTTTTTTAATATTCTTTTGTGGCAAGAGTGGTTCTTTATATTTATTTTTTATATTTTATTATCTTAATGTAAAATTGATTTTGAATATTTAATTTAAATTTAATTAGAAAACCTTTTAGTTGATCCAGGGCCAATGACACAGGTTTCAAAGTAGAAGGAAACAATCTTCAATTTTTTAAAAAAGTCCTCTATATTTAGAATTTTCTTTAAAAAAAGAAAAAAGTTCCTTTATAAAAAAAAGTAGGGGAGCACGTGCCCCCAGCCCCCCGGTGTCGTCAGCTCTGTGATCAATATTGTTGCTTAAATTGACATTAAAAAAAGCATTAAAGTAATCAACTTGTTTGCTTCAGTGCTTTTTCTATTTTCAATTTAAGAAATTATATTTTAATTTTAACTGTCCCACACAATTACTCTTGTTTAACAAAAGTAAGTTTTTGTCAACTTTTAGCAAATTAACATTGATGTAGACACATGAAAGTTTATTTAAAATATATCTTGAATACTAAAATTAAATTTATTTATTTTTATGCCTCCAAAAGTTACGGTTTTTCTCATTGTTGCATTACAAAAAAGGTATCATTGTAAAATTTTATTATAACCATGAATTTATTTGCATAATCAGAATTAATTTAGCGTGAAAATGGAGCTGACATGTTCAAATTGTTGTTGGTCAGATTTTATATTTCATAAAATATATATATTTTAAGAAAATAATGAAAGAACTTTTGTAATTTTCATGTAACATAAGTTAACGAAAAGATGAATTTAGTTAATAAGCTCAAGTTTAATAATATATGCAAAAGAATATTGAATGTTACATTTTTGCATTTAAAGTTTTGAATAACGATGCTTAGTTAAAGCACATTTTAACAAAATGATTTACGTCATTAAGTAATAGAGGGGGGGGGGGGCAAAATTCTATATTTCTTTTTTAACCAGTTATTCTTAATTAATTTTCTTAATTAAAAAAAGTTTCTTTGCGTATAAAGTTTCTTTGCGTATAAAGTTTCTTTGCGTATAAAGTTTCTTTGCGTATAAAGCAACTTTTCTTGCTATTCAAATTTTGATTGGATAAATTTTATTTTTAATCGCTGCGTTTTAGAAAAAAAAAGTTTTATCTGAAGTCTCTTTCTAAACAAAACGTTTTAAGTAATCAAAAAGACAGATTGCTTCTTAATTTCCTTTTTTTTTTTTTTTTTTAATCGGTATTAGCTATCAAGAAGGCTATTCATGATTTCATTTTTATTTTTTTCACTTTTCTTTAATGAAGTTAAGAATAAATCTTCTTTTAAAGTGCCAGTCAGTAGAAGTTCAGTTAAATTCTAAAGGTTTAACAACTCTAAGATAGATAAACAGGGTAAAGGAATACCGCTACCTAAAAGGCTTTATAAAAAACAAACTTTCAAATTTTCAAATTTTCTGCTTTACTCTAAAACGCAGTGAATTGCTAGTTAAAAAAAACTCTAGAAGCAGTTAATAAGTATACCTCAAAGGGATTGAATGATTGTATCATTCTTGCTAGAATATTTTGGCAAAAGTTAGCCTCAGGACTACAAAAAGGAGAAAAGTATTATGTGTTTGGTTGATGATGGAAAATTATTAGTATTAACTTTCTAATTAAGTTGTTGCAGTTGGAAAGCTTTGGAAAAAACCTATTTAATTTCAACAGTAGATGTATACTTAATTATATAAACCATATAAAAAATGAAGGTTCGCATAGTTTAAAAATATTTTGGAGAATTATTGTCCAGTTATTTGTCCAAAAAGTTGAAACTATGGAATATAGTTGAAACCAGCTTCAAAAACAAATGGATAACAATGAAAGAGCAGCAAACTTTACATCAGGTGCGCAAGATGAGTTCTATTTTAGCTTAATGAAAGATACAAGGCAGCCCATTTAGCTGTGAACTTATACATTATTGAAGTAGATAAAGATATGTTAAAATGAAAAAAAAGTTTGAAAAATGAGGTTTTTTATTTTAGGGATACAATATAGGTCATTGTAGCGACGGTCTATTCTGTTTAAATACATGATTGTTGATATAAAAATACAAACCTCCATCTTATGTCTATCAAGGAACACGCTCATAACCTAGATGTTCTATAAGGAAAGTTCCAGCAGCAATCTCCATCACATATGATGACTTTTATAGTTATTTTCCATTTTCAATAGTAAATAACAAACTGTATGAATTATTTTCATATATAATGCTTATTTTTTTTGTTACTTATAAATGATAAGGTATATTATTGATAAATTAAACAGAAAAAGATTTCTAGTTTTCTACTTTTTTTATACTTAATGATAATAATAATTTCATCTATTTTTAACAATGCCTTTTTTTTGTCAATATATTTACTTTTATTAAAATTGAAGTAGAAGGCTAAATAGTTAAAATGTAAAAAAATGATTATGATTTTTAGAATCAGCATGAAAGACTAATTAAGAAAAGTTGGTTAAATTTTTAAAAATCTAAAAAAAGACGATTATGGACCCCCTATAAGTAATTATCATTTCAAACTGAAACTTTTTATATTAGGAGAATTAGAAAAAAAATATTTTATTTTTTTTGATGTTAATTAAATTTTTTTTTGTTTATGTGTTCTTATGTTAGTTGATATAAGAAAACATAAAAAACATAAGTATGAGTTATATAAATTAGGGGTGTCCAAAAAACAACTTTTTTGAGAAAAACCTGCTGACACCCCCTAAATGTGTTTTATCTAATGCAAAAACACTAGGTTTAAAATTTTTTTGAACAAAAATTATTTTTAGGGGTAGCTCAAGGCCCTCAAAAATTTGACGGGTCCCTAATATTTTGAAAAAAAAACTTTTTCTAAAGTATGTCAACCTGGTACTCAAAAGAAGCAAAATTATATAAAAAATTTAAAAATGATAATAATTTTTTATAAAAATAATTTTTTTAGGTATAAATGCATAAAAACTATTGTTTTTAAGCTGAAAATAAAAAAAGTCAATATTTTCAGGTTTTTTGAGAATAATTTTTTTTAGGCATGTTTTTTATGTAAAATGATTATTATTTTTGAAGTTTTTATACAATATCGCTTCTTTTGAGTACCAGGTTGACATACTTTAGAAAAAGTTTTTTTTTCAAAATATTAGGGACCCGTCAAATTTTTGAGGGCCTTGAGCTACCCCTAAAAATAATTTTTGTTCAAAAAAATTTTAAACCTAGTGTTTTTGCATTAGATAAAACACATTTAGGGGGTGTCAGCAGGTTTTTCTCAAAAAAGTTGTTTTTTGGACACCCCTAATATAAATATTTGTATTTCGACATTAATATAAAAATTCTAACTGATTTTTCTTATATTCTCCTAATATAAAAAAAATCAGTAAGAATCTTTTTTGTTTTTGTTTTAGTAAAACAAATCGTTTGTAAATGAAATTATGGGTCATCATTAAAGCATGTCACCCTATATTTGTCAATTCTTAACCCCTTCCCTCCTGTGATAAATGATCAAATATACCTGAACCCTTCTCCCTCCCAAACTGTCATAGCAGTTTTTTTGTCAAAAATATTTTAAAAGATTTAAATATAAATATTTTGCAGCATTTTAAAAATTCCAACTAATTAAAATAAGGCAATACGCATAAACCTAAGATGTGTAAGCAAAAATCCGACAAGCCAAAGATTTTCTTATTTAAACGACTCTAATAAATATTAATAAAGTTGTAACTCTAAAATAGTTTTTGAAAGTCGCTCTTGGTCTTACATAAAAACTGTTTTTCGATTTGATCACTTTAATAAATTTTATGAAAAATCACTTAGAAAGGGTGCCACCATTAAAAAATTTTTTTTTTTTGTTAATTAATTTTAATGAATGAGTTCAATACTTTTGCAATTGTTTTGTTACGTAACTCTAGCTCTTAAAAATAGATATAAAAAATCTATGATAAATATTGCTTGGTAACATAAGTGATGTAATGTAAGTGAAATATATAGTATTAAAAAAACAAGTTGATTTTCCTTAGCTAATCACCTCTAATAAATTTTATATATTTTTTTAAATTAGCATAGAATTCTTAACATCATGTGTAAGTTTCTAATACAAACCACTTTACTGATTCGCAGAAATCTGACATAAAAGATGAAGCATTTTTTTTACTTTGTTTTCCGTGTAATGTAAGTTAAGTGGCATTTTCAGTAGTAAGTTGGTCCTCTTTTGGCCAGACTTTTTTGCTTATTTTATTCTTTAGATTAACAGCTTTCATACAAAATAGCTTAAAGTATAATTTACAGTTTAAATAGGCAAATATTTGATAAAGTTGTCAAAATCATTTACAAAATAACTTTTAATAAATAGAGTAAATAAATTAACCTAGTTTTTTATTTGTTACTCTAATTTTTTTAAAATAAAAAAACATTTTTAATTGCAAAAGCCGCAATTAGAAGTTTAAGAGATAATCATTTAAAAATTCAAAAATTTATCATATTTTAATTCATTAATGCAAATGTCAAGAAAAGAAAGAAATTTGTCAATATAAAACATTTTTTTAAATATAATATTAAATTTAATTATTTAATATTAAAAATAAAATAAAAGAAAATAAACATTTCATTATAGTAATAATAAAAAAGAAGTTAAGTAACAATGCAGACAAATTTTATAGCATTATGGAAATGGTGATTTTTTAATTGATAATGAATCGTACTTTACATTGAGTACTTTATGTTGACCAGCCTGGCAATTATGCTTTTTTACACTGACAACTTGAATAAGACATCAAATAATGTTAAATACAGTTTCAAAGAAAAATATCCCCAAAAGTTGCTTGTATGGCTTGCTATATCACTGAAAGGATTGACAAGACCTTTTTTTCGAAAATCTGGAAACGTGATTAACCAAGATGTTTATTGTGAAATTCCAATTCTGAGAAAAAGCCACTTTTAAATTTTGTGTGAACCTTACTTGAATATAATAATTAGACTTTCATGCCACATAGATTATGAATACAAAATACTTCCTTTATTCAATGAAAATTTATATTTAACCAAAACATCAATATATAGGCTGAAAAATCACACACTGCTAATTTACACAATATTTCACAGCCGTCATCCTAGATAAAAACGCAGTATAATCAATACAAAAATGCATGCATACTCCAATATATATTTTTTCATAAATATCAATGTGTTTTTATAAAAGGCATTGTTAATCACAATCTAGCTTGATAATCAATGGTTTCCAAACAAACCTTAATTAATAGTGGAGTTATAACATAGAGCTAGACTGCGTCTAATTAATAGGAAGAATTTTGAGTAAAGAATACTTACAACCAACAAATATGATATTTATAACAACCAGTCCAACCCAGCAACATATTTTTTCCACGAATATCAAATAATACCATTCTCTTACCATTAGTTAGGAGTGCACTAGGGGCTCAAAAACCACAATTTACCCATTATCAAATTAATAATCAGTCTTTCCATCTCTTATTTTGTCAACTTCATTCAAAGTGTGTATAAGGTAGATAAAGTAAATTAGATTTTTTAAAACGTTTTATTAGAATAAAAAAATACATATATAATTGAAAAAATATATAATATAAATGAAATTATATATTTTTTAAATTGTTCCAGAAAATTCTCCTGCTGGCTGGCATTAAACTCGATAAATTCGACAAAATATCATCGATTTTGTCTTGAGCCACCCCACGAGGCTTGTCCAACTGTGGAGGTTTTGATATTTTCTTTGTTGATGATTTCTTACAGAGGAAGTCTAATTGTTTTGTAAACTCCTCCGTATGAGAAGTTTTGTATTCCATTGTAAATTTACCTCTGCGTGTTCTCACTGCTACAATGTTCTTCAGATATATTTTTTCAGAAGATTTCTTTAACTTCTGTTGGGATTTGTTATCTTTCCACATGTATATATCTGAAAATGTCATTTCTTTCACATCCACCTTCCCTTTATTAGCATTCTGTACAGCGTTGGAAAAATCAGGAAAATCGTAAACTTTTTGTTTCTTCATGGAGAGCTCCACCTGATGATGAAAACTGTCGGCACTCATATATGTATGTCCTGGCTCAAAGTATTTTAGTTGTATTTCATCCATATCTACTTCATCACTATTTACAATATATACTAAAAAAGACAGAAGGCACCAATTTTTATTTTGGCTCGAACAATTGTCGAGCCAAAGTGTAATCTTTTTCGAGTCCCTCTGCCTCAAAAAAAAAGCATAAAATGTACTAACAATGTCCTCCTTGTTCCTCCCAGTTACACCTTCATGCCATATACATGCCATGGGAACACCATGTGCTTTCTTCCCAAGAGGAACGAAACTCTCGTGGTAAGCCACTATCCTCTTTGTAAATATAACTTTTTTAAATGCATCCAAACGTGGCAGCATGATGACTTTCTGTAAATCTACAGAGAAAATGCTGCCATCATTGAGCTCCGCATCCTTTTTGTATAATTCTCTTGCTTCTTCATATCTTATCTTGTGATTAATATATTGTTGGCAATCATCACAATCATTATTTAAATTATCTGCATCGTGACCGTGTAAACAAAATTTTTCACAAAATTCACACTCTTCATGGCCTAAAGTTGCAAATGAAATATTTTTTTTCTTTATAGCTAACCTATAATATTCGTATGATATTTGTTGTTCTGGGTATTTGTGTGTAAAATCATTGTGCATCATGGTGATGGTCACATCACTTGGCAAATATCTTCTAATAGGAGCATGTTCCCTCCTGTAATGAGATACAGTTGGTTCAAATGATTCGATGTGCGCATCTTTTAAATCGTCATGTTTATACTTCCTATCTGAAACATGTTTGCCACGTCCATCAGCTAATGGGGCTATTGCGGCAGTTGGAGTTTTGTTAAGGACCTCAAATACTGCACGGTCATTATTTGGTTTGTATCCTAGTGTTGTTAGGAAAAACTTCTTGCACACGGACTGCTTGATTGAGTCTTTATTACTGAAGAAGTATTTCCAGGTGTTTTCGTGCACCATCTTCAACACTTTTCCTCTTTACAGGCTTGCGATCACATGTATTGAGGATAAATGTCTTCCTCTCCTTCCAGCCTAATTTTAAATATTGGGCGTTAATTTCAATACGTCGTCCCTCATTTATTTTGCTAATGCATTTTTTTTTGCAACAATCAACAATTGGCTTTAGTGCATACTTTGCTTTATATAGTTGCATCTTACGTTCTTTTCTTTCTTTGACACTTAAAGAATTACTTCTGCGAATTCGTATAGTTCCCTTTTTAGTAAATTGGACCGATGGAGATGCAGCTTCGTCCAATGGTTTATCCACAGATTCCTTTAATACTGAAACAAGATAAAATTTAATTATTACTTCGTTTAAGTACAGAACACGGTACAACCTATGTTATACATATAATTTATATGTTATATAAAATATACATAATAGATATACCAATTTCTTCTCCATTTTCCACCACATCCACTCTACTCTTTAAGACATCTTCGTCCATTGAAGGTTGAAGTGTTGTGACAGACTCATCTAAAACTGATAATTTAATGCATTGTATATCTGCATAAAAAATGTCACACAAGTTATCATATAATAAAAAAAACACGTAATATTCTTACCAATATCTCCTCTATCCTCCATAATTTCTGCCTCATACACTACGACTTCCATTTTATCAACAGTTACTTCAGATACAACTGTTCTAGAATCCTGTAAAAGAAAGGGTAAAACATAACCAAGAAGAACCATACATTAGGTATTTACACAGTTATTTGTAGATTTTTTATAGTGAAACCTTGAGAAATTTGTAGAATATTTATTATTATGATCAATAAACACAATACACATAACCTTAGATACATAAAATAGATTGAGACTACGGAAATATATAAATAAAACACTTACATCTAACAATGAAGATTTACATTTGTCTGAAGCACGATGTAGCATATATTGAGTCCTTGACATCCAAGTGTTGCAAATATCACATAACATTTTTTGATTTTTATAACACTCTACGATAAATTGAATAGTCCTAAATATAATTCACTATAAAAATAATCTTTACCGAAAAAAAAGAAACACCAAATACGAAAACACGACTGAACAACCAACGCACACACTAATCAGATGACGCTTGCAGTTGCAATGACGCCGTATTCGTCATAGATAACCCACGTTTTTGTCTGTGTTGCCAAGTTAAAAAGCAGTAAAGCAATGATACTATGAAAAAATGCAGTACGTACGTTGCAAATACTGCATTTTTAATTTGTATTGCGATAATGCTGCGTTTTTACTAAGTATTACACTATATTTTTTTAACTTACGGCAAAATGAACTATGGGTTTGATGACTTCGGAATATACCACAATATTTTTATATAGAGCGTTATTACACAGAAAACAATGTTAAAACGTTTGGTGCAATAATCTCGATTTTTCAATTTTTGCGATTACTGCGTTTTTTCTTAGGACGGCAGATTACCTATTTGATGAAATGTTTGACAAAGAGCTATAAAGTTTTTACTGCTTATAAAAAATATTTTATATTTTTCTTATCTTAATAGAATGCAGGCATTTTAAAAACTGTTACAATAATCAAAAATTCCACAATACAAATAAATAATATATTGAATTAATAAATATATAATTCATTGCATAAAATAAAAATTGTTATGCAATAATTTAGAGTGTAATAATTTTGTATTTTATTTGTTAAATAATTTTATATTTTATCAATATAATTTAGAGTGTAATAATTTTATTTTTTCTTTTTTATTTTGTTTTTTCGCATCAACTTTTTAAAAAGCATTGCAGTTTATTATACAATTATTTTTTTGTTATGAAAATGACATTGTATTTTTCATTTTAGTTACAATGATAATTATACTTTTGAGAGAGCCATAAATTGCTCCCGTAAATTTCAGTCATTTTACGGGACTGTAAGCGAAAGTTAAAACCCTCTCTTCCCACTGAGGGAAAACATAGACTAAGGTCTGCCAAAAACAAAATGTTATGTGTATAATGGGTTAAATTTAATTGCATTTAAAGTATATTATAAATATTTAAACTATTTTGCTTCCTAGAAACTATATTATTATTTCTCCAGAAAAATTTCTCTAAATTGTCACACACAAACTTTTAGTTATTACAATCAATTTCCAAGATTTCTTTAATTTTTCAAACATTTTTAGGTTAAACTACTTGTCTGTAATACTGTAATGCAAAATACTGTAGTTTGTACAAATAGTATCTAATGCCAACAAACAAGGGCTTTGTGTCATTACTAGGTATCAATCTAGAATGCAATTTTTTAAAATATACACTCTTAAACCAAAAAGCATAAAATCAACCTAATATATCCCTTACTGGGACTACTTTTATTTAAAAACTTACAAAATTAATTTGGCAGAGCAGAGATAAATTTATATTTAGCTGTATTTTAATAGATGTAATTGTTCAAAATGAAAGCTTTCTGTTCTGATTTTACAGTTTAAATTTTAAAATTTGTAGACAAATAAAATTGATTTTAAAAAAGAAAAATTGCAAGAATATAAATAGCGAATCCTGTTGGTTAGTTAATTTAGGCTGCCATTTTCTGTGGTGATAAAAAATTTAAGAGTTTTAAATTAAATTTACTAGCAAATTTGTCTTTTGATTACATATTTATAATTATCACTGTACATAAAAAATAGCTATAATATCGATGATTATAAAAACTTATTTGTTTACTTTTTTAGTTATAAATTTTTTTCGTTATTTCTATAGATGTTAGATGTTTCTAATCCTACAGAAATTGTTTCTTTGGTGGGAACAATAAGTGGAGGTGGACATATGCATATTACACTTTCAGACATGGCAGGAAAAACAAATGGAGGACATTTGTTAGAGCTTATTGTTGATACAACTGCTGAAATAGTGGTAGGAGAATGCACTAGTTTATCCTTTACACGTGTTTTAGATAAAGATACTGAATATAAAGAATTGCAAGTCAATGTGCGGTGATATTTGTAATCTTGATAACTTATTTTGTTGCTGTATGTGAAAAATAATATCAAATGCATGTCTTCTTACACAAGCTTATAGCTCTTATCCAAAATGTTCATAAGTATTTAAGCAGCTCTTGGTTGCATTTTTTTCTCTTGGCTGCATTATGTTTTAAACAATAAGTTTGAATTTTTTTATTTAAAAAAGTGTAAATTAAGCAATAGTTTGTGAATTGTTATTTTGAACTATAGTTCATAGTTTTTTATGATATTGTAAAGTTTTTCTACAATATTAAATGTTGAATATTTTTTTACTGAACAATTTTTTTTTACTAGCTATTTTTTTTTATGGCATTGTATATTGATGCAATGCTGTTGCATGTAAATATGTAGTTAAACATTAAATGGTCTTTGTTTAGGTATGTATTTCCTGGCTTTTAATCTAAATTGTAAATTTTGACATACTGAAAAATCTTTTTTAAGTGCATGTACAAATATGAATTTTAAATGTTATTGTATTCAAAATTGAAATTGTTTATGATATTTTTTTTTGTAAGTAAAGGTTATAATAACATAAAAAGCACCACAATTTTTTGAATCTTTTAGTTTTTTCCTTATTTGTCTTACAAAAGAGTTTTCAAATGTATATTAGAAAAATAGTTTTTGTTTACATATAATAACTATATAAGTTATATGATATAGCATGACATATAAATATAGTTATTTAGCATAACATAACAAAAGATACTTGCAAAAATCAAACAGTTGCTATAATATAAATTTACATTTATATGTTTACATTTATATTTATACTTTTACATTTGTTATGAAACTCTTACAATAAAACTCTTACAAACTTTTACTTTCATGAAGTAAATCATAGTTTCATTTTTAGTAACACTCAATTTAGCAGGTTTTTATTAGTTTGCAACAAACATTATTTTTGTGCAGTATAAATTAAAAAAAACATTTTATAAATTATTGAGTTCAAGATTATTTTGAACTTTTTTGTTATTTTGAACTTTTTAGTTATTTTGGAATAGTTTATAGTTTGTATGATGCTTCATTTTGTCCTCAAGAATCGTTATTTATTTGCACTTTGTCTCACCATCATATGGATCAGTATACTTATTATACCAAAGCTCGGACAATCTTACAGATTATATTCACAAAATCAGTATGAATATATTTCTGTTTTTGTTTTTAAATGTTATTAAAAAAGTAATTAAAACAAAATAGCACACTTTTTTGTTATTAAAAACTTTATTATGTTATTTTATTTGTAATTTTTTTTATATCATTTTCTTTTAATATACTTTTTTTGTTTTATTGAGTGTCATTTTTATGTTTAAAAGTCATCCTTGTATCTTTTTATAATAATGCTTGTGTTTTTTAGAGAACCTCTCGTTCAAAATGAAAGCATTGCAAAAGTAGTTGAAGAAAAACATGATTACTCAACACAATCGCACCCAGTTGATTCTTCTCCTTATTTGTTTGCTGGGTATGTAATAACTTTAAAATAAAACAATGTGTGTGTGTGTGTGTATATATATGTATATATATATATATATATATATATATATATATATATATATATATATATATATATATATATATATATATATATATATATATATATATATATGCAGCCCTTAGAGTTAGGGTCAGCATTTGGCAATGCCGATCTTAAAGTGTTTGAGGTCAGCAAAAATTTTTTTGCCGAACTCATTTTTCTAATTCCAAGGGATGATATATGCCTTTTTAAAAAGTTGACCATGTGAATTTTATGTGGAAAATTTATGTGGAAATCATTTCACCTACGCATTAAGCCATTTTTGTTACGCCAAAACATTTTTCAATTAGATTATTTAAACAGTCTTTTAAAACAGTTTATGTAGAACATATTAGGCAGTAATTAATTGTTGTAAAAAACATTTTCGCCGCAATTTTCAAATAATTTTGTTTTAGTTAAAAAAACAGCTGTTGAAGTTGAATAAATTTTTTTTACTTTCTGTTTTTTAAAAGTTTTAAGTTTAAATTCATTTTATTACATTTAACTAAATTGATTATTAAATACTAAAAAATTTATTTTATTAAATTTAGTTTGAATTTTTAAAATAATTTAAAGTGCTCTGTTTTACAATTTTTTTTTTAACTTTTAAAGTTTCCAAACTTGTTCAATTCTTTTCATCAAGAGTGTATTTTTGGTTACTTTTTCATGTTCGTTTTAAGTTGTAAGTCAAATAGTTAATAAAAAAATAAAACTATAAATAAACTTTTTTGTTTATTTATAGTTTTATTTTTTTATTAACTATTTAGCTTTTTGGTTTTATTATTTATTATTTAAAATTTTAAATCAATAAAATTTTATCATCCTGTTACACAAGTGTTACCAGAATTTTTGTAATATTTATTAATATTTAATAATAATTTAGTTAAATTGTAGTAAACTTTATGTAACAAATTTATGTAAAGATGATTTTTTTAGTTTTGAAATAAAGTGATAATGAATTTTGTTGAAGCCATATAATGCTGAAAAAAATTGTTGAATTGTTGATAGCTTTTTTTTTTTTTTTGACCTTTTAAAAATTAAACCTTAAACCATTGCGTCCTCATTAAAAAAAAAAATCTTAATTGTGAGAAAGTAAACAGAAGATGATAATGTTGTGTTACAAATGTTTTAAGAAATAAATAAAATGTTTTAATTAATAAATAATATAGTTTAAATAAGTATAAGTTTTTTTAAATAAGAAAATTATTTTTTTTCAAACAACATTTAAAATTTTTTTATAACTTAAAAAATTATTAAAAAATTTGAAAATAACATAAATATTTCATAAAGATTCTAAATGATTTTTAATGTGATTTCAAATTAAGTTTAATTTTAATGTGGTACTTTAAAATATGCAACTGACATAATTTAACTTTCAATGATGTAAATATAGATATTGGGTAAAGTTACATTTACTTGCATTATATTTTTTAGTTGCACAACAAAATCCCATAACAAAGTCTTTATAAATACATAAATATATATATATATATATATATATATATATATATATATATATATATATATATATATATATATATATATATATAAAAATATATATATATATATATATATATATATATATATATATAAATATATATATATATATATATATATATATATATATATATATATATATATATATATATATATATATATATATATATATATATATGTTCCCCCTGTTTTAGAACATGCCATAAGAATATTTGACAGGAAACATTGCCAAATAAAGGCATTTTTGTCTTTATTGGGCAATGTTTCCTGACCAGTACGAGGCGTCTTCTTGTAAGAGATATGCGATCGAACGCTTTATATGACCACACATATAGTTCTTTGTTTTAATAACTTGACCAGGGATCTTTGCAAGTTTTGATAATTAGCGCATTTAAAAAATGCTCTAAAAAAAAAAAAAAAGAAAGCAAATATAAATGCGATTTTTAATTTAATTGATTCCATAATTACAATTAAACTGCCACAAAATTTCCTGAGTACTTTAATGCAACTTAAAAGCAATCGTTGAAAAAAATACTCAGATCAGAGTTCAAAGGAAAATGAGTACAGAAGCTATCAAAAAATAATTATAAACTGTTTTATCATGAAATATAATTTCTAATAAAGAAATTATTTACTAAAAAAAAGAATTACATTAGTCTTGAAACAGTCGCAATCGCCAACTATTTTTTATCCCAGGGCGTGATGTATTGTTTTTTTTTTAATGAACATTGACTTGCGTATCTTTATTTATTGGCAAACGTCTAATTTAAGAGATTTATGTCAAACGAATTTCAAATAATTTTTATTCTAGTTAATATGTTATCAAATATTAAACATTATGATCGCTTTTTTTAATAAAAGAAAGCAATTGAATTGTTTAAGGACGGTTTCTTTTGAAGTTTTTGCAAAAGCATTTATTTTAAGTAAAATTATGCACACTTTTGTGAGTGCATGCAAAAACCATGCTAAAACATAATTACTTTTTTCTATAGGTTACTTAGTTATTTTACTTAAAAGTGACGCTATTGAAAAAAGTAATTATGCCTTTGAAATTAATTATTTTTCATATAAAATATGTGGTCATATAAGACGTGCGATCGCACGCAACTTACGGGAAGGCCTGCTGACTGTGGGAAATATTTCCTAACTGAAAAAACACAATATTTTCTGTAGAAAAAAGGCCCTCAATTTATGAATTAAGCACTGTCAAAAAGAGACAAGAATAACCTGTCAAAAAGAGTCAAGAATAATGTCAAACAGAGTCAATAATAATAATTAATAATAAATTTTTTCTTTAATATTTTTAGTTACTTAAAAGTTTATATATAGCCAAAGATTTCACTGGAAAAACAACAGTAACATATAGAACTATAACTTCAAAGATATTTTGAAGACTTTTTCAAGAAATTAATAAAAAAATAATTTAAAAAGCTACTTGAAAAAAAAATTAAATTCACAAACTATTTTGATTGCATTTTTAATAGTTAACAATATTTTTCCATTTAACTTGAACTTCTTTCATTTTAGTTTTTTAGTTAAATCTGCTGAAGGATTTCATTTGAAACAATTTGTACCAGATGGCTAAAGTAACCAAAAATTGAAAATTTTTTGATTTGTTTTGCCAGTCCAGTTGCTTTGGTCCTTGCTTTTGAATCGTTGGCATTTTCAATTCCACCAATGCATCATACATTGCTTTTATTTTATAACGAACAGCTATTGGTTCTGCATTCCCAGCTTGTATCAGTAATAGACTTTACTTTCAGATTTTTTACCTAGTTTTAAAGATCTGCCATTGCTATATTGAAGCGCTAAACAAAAGATAAGTTTGATCTAAAAAGCAATGACTGAAAATTTCAACATGTCTTCAAGAATTAGGTTAAGACTGTGACATTTACATTTTTCTGGATTGAGAAGTGTACGTTTTGTTACACCACAACGCAGCTTTTCATATTTACTCCATTATCATATCCATAGTTCATATTTGCTCCATTATCATATCTATAATCTCTTCAATTTAAATTCAGATCTTTAAGCTTTTGTAAGCATGTTTCCGCGAGACCTGAACTACTGCTGTCATTGACAATTATGAATCCTAAAAAATATTTATCAATTTCTACTGGTCTAAATGTTTACTGGTTCGAATCTTGCATGTTTGCAAAATCATAGTTATTTGCTCTTGGTAACCAGCATCAGGTGTGCAACTATGGGTCAATATTTCAAATTTTGAACATTATTTAGTTTTTTGTTGGCCGCATCACCGATTAGATTAACTACTTCAATCTGAAATGTTTTGCCCGAGTAATGATCATTAATTTCCTCTTTTTATAGGCCATAAATGATCTTCTTGGTATAAATCATACTTATAACAATCTCACCAACCCCAATAAATTTCCATTATTTGGTTGAAACTATTGATCCACAGTACCTCAAAGTGCTAAATTCCATTCTACAAGAAACTGCACAATTTAAATGATTCTTTTTAAAATGTTGCTACAGTGCTGAGTCTCTTTTTAGACTAGTTTTTGTGTTTCCTTGTCAGTTGTCTCTTGTTCCTTTAGCTGATTTTCCAGCTCAAACCAAGCGTCGACAGCACAATTGTGTTTTATGGACTATTCATGATTCGAGTACTAGACAATTGACGATTCAAATACTAGACATGTTTTTCCATTTTCTTTAATTGTGAGCTTGATTTTTTGATCTCAGAACAATAGGCAACAAAAATTAAATACAACATTTTAATGGTTTGAATAAACTATAAATTAAAATAAAAAAATCATTCAATATTTTGTAATTTCTTAAAAATAAGCTCTCATTTTGCTGCATTTAAAAAATAAACTTACATCTAGTTGCATTTCAATACTCTTATTCTGATGATACTTTGTTTGTGAACCACAAAACGGTCCTTTTTTGACCAAGTAAACTTTTTTTTTATTGGTAATTGAAGATGGCCATAAACCTATATCTTTCGAAGTGAATATTTTGGTTTTCATTTGAATTGCTTGAATGTGTATCTTCCATTCCCATGATTTCATTCTGTAAATAAGCTGATTCATTGCCCACTCCTTCTATTGCCATCTGACTACTTTGACCACATGTTGGCAATTAGGAAAATAGTTCTGTATCCTTTTCATTCTGAGCATGTGAAGTTGATGTTGCCAAATGTCGTGGTGGACATCGTTATCGAAATCAGCCTTTTTTTATTGACTTACTGATTGTTTAACCAATTGCTTTTTAAAAACATTTATGAAAATAGAAGACTTTGAAAACTAAACTGCATGATGAGGAAAACATTAAGATAGGACTTCTGAAGTGTTGAATTTGAGATAAAAAACTAAGTTTATAAATGTTTTTTGAGCATGGTAAAACAGTAACAGTAAAAAGATGTGACTCAACTAAATGAGTCACGTGAGATTGAGTTTAGATAGAACATGGTATTTGAGCATGGTAGAACAGTAGCAGTAAAAAGATGCGACTTAACTAAATAAGTCATGTGAGATTGGGTTTAGAACAAGAGTTTTGTGTTGAAATAAATTTAGTTTTCGGGATTGAACAGGAGATGTGTGAGAGATGTGCATTTCTTGAGTAGTAACCATGGTATTAGTTGTAGTTAATTGAAAAAGATGTAACCATATGATAAATGGGACAGAAGGCCAATTTTGGAGCTAGAGCATGTTCTATTACATTTACGTGTTTTTTCAAGGCAGGAAACAATATAATGCAGGTTTAAATCTATGCCAGCTTATTGTTGAAAAAGGAGTGCAAGGCTGGTTTACAACAGTTTTCTGCTTACCCTTAAAGTTTTTGCACAAGATGTTTCCTACAAGGCAGTAGCCAGATGTTGACATATGCCCAAATAAAATATAAATCATATAGCTGTGGGATAAAAATAGCATGTCCGGGTGTAATGTTGAAGTTTTAATGCTAAGTTTTTGAGTATAAATGATGAAAATATTAGGGGAAATTATATTGAAATTGTATTGAAAAAATCAGGGAAAATCAGGGAATTTTATTCTAGAATTATAGTATCAACCCTGTACTGTGTTTCCATAAACATTGTTTTCATCATTGTTGACAGCAAGTATTTCTAGTCTCATTGTTCAGATGCTTTGTTTAAGTTGTTTGCTAATTTTTTGTTGCAGAATTAACAGCTGAGTTAAAATTTCATGAGAAGTTGGCTCAATTAACTTTATCTTAAATGCTAGGTGTGACTTTGCAGATTGTGCTACTTCTCTAATGTTACTTTCAGTGATGTTCATATACAACTTTTCAAAGTAATACTAACTAAATACTAATTTTGTTAGTATCACATCTTTTATTTCTATCATCTTTTTCAATATTTTTTTTCCAACTGCACTATTAAGGTACTCCAACTGTAAACAATGTCAAGCAGAACAATTAAGTTACAAAATAAAAAATTAAATATTTTTTTTTTATAATGTTATTTGTTTAAAAAAGTGTATGTTTATGCAACAGCATGAAATGGTTTAAAAAGAAAGGTTTATCTTTTTTTTTTTTTTTTTAAAAAAGTAGATTGCTAGTGTGTATTTGATTTTTTTTTGAGGCGTGATTTACTAGTGTGTATTTAATTTTTTTTAAAGCGTGATTTACTAGTGTGTATTTAATTTTTTTTAAAGCGTGATTTACTAGTGTGTATTTAATTTTTTTTAAAGCGTGATTTACTAGTGTGTATTTGATTTTTTTAAAGCGTGATTTACAGTGTGCATTGAATTTTTTAGCATGCTCACAATAAAATCCTATGCTTTAATGACCTTGCCCTTATGAAAGCATATTTTTATAAATTTCTTATATAAATTTAAGTATTTAAATAAATTACTTATTATATAAAGCAAGTTAATAAACAATAAAATACGATTAATTGTAACTATAGATGAATAGATATGAATAGATAAAGTTAGAAGTATAAAAAGATATTTTTAACTTAAAAATACAGAAATATGTTTATTCTAGTGTGTATTTGAAAGCTTACTATTTTTAAATCAGTATATATATTTTTATTAAAAAAACTTTAAATTATACTTGTTACTTTATTTCAAAGGATTTATTTAAATAATATATTAAAAGATAAAAATTCGATTTTCTTATTTCAAACGTGATTAAAAAGTTGATTTAAATTACCTTAGGCATTTTAGTTTTTTATTTTAGTTAGAGGTTTATTTTTATTTTTTTAATTAAATTTTTTATTGTCTCTTTTGTTAAGATTTTTTATTTTTTCTAAAAAAAGATTAAAAAAATTTTTTTTTCATCTTTTTTTTTCTATTTACTGGATTATGTTAACAGCCATGGTCAAATTGTCGAAACAATGTGTTATTCGTGTGGTCATATAATAGTGTGAAATTGCACGCTTTCCTGACCAAGACTACTGTCTGTTATTTTAATTAAAATTGTATCTTTAAAGTGCAAGTTCATACAATTTGTAATATTAGTTATTCTACCAGTATAAACGCACTGCGTGGGCATGTTTTTGTTTTTTGGTTTTATTGAAAATTTGTAGTATATAATTAGCTTTATTGAATATTTGTAATAGTTTTAAAATTGTTGATTCCATTCAGTCCATTGTAATTCATGATTATCTAATGCAGCCCTTATTTCCTCAGAATCTTTTGTAGCAATAAGGTTTAGGTTTCGGCAAATACGTCTGTTATGAAGCACTACACTTAAAACATCTGGGTTTTTAAATTTCTTGATTTCTATGCAACATTTTTTGTTGTCTTTGCTGTGTGTGTATAAAGTTGCTATTGCCATTCGCTAGTTTTTATTTTGTTACTGATTGAGCTTTTTGTTGAATATACTAACAAATTTGATATATTTGTATATATATATATATATATATATATATATATATATATATATATATATATATATATATATATATATATACATATATATATATATATATACATATATATGTATATATATATATATATATAAAACCCTCAGAATAAGGAAAAATGAGGTTGCCAAAAAAATTTGATGCAAAGGTCTTTTATATATATATGTATATATATATATATATATATATATATATATATATATATATATATATATATATATATATATATATATATATATATATATATATATATATATATATATATATATATATATGTATATATATATATATATATGTATATATATATATATATATATATATATATATATATATATATATATATATATATAATTTAACTTATTTACAGAGACTTTCAACAAGGAGAGAAATGTTTAGACACTTTAGGAGGAGGTAGCGGTATGTCAGTTGGTGTTTTTAGCTGTCATGGTATTGGAGGAAATCAGGTTATTTATTTAAAGTTTCACTCATTATATCAAGCTTAAAGATTTTAAAAGAACTAGAATTATTATTTAATTAAAACTTCTGTTTAACTTATATTTAAAATCTTCTAGAATAATAAATCATATTAGTAAAAGTTAATGTCTTTTTTATTGTTTTATTATTATTTTTTATGAATTCTTCAGATCTATTTATCTTTTATGATTTTTTTTCCCCATTTCAGCTTTAAAGTTGTGAAAATTAGTATTCTGTTTTTTATGTGTTTTTTGTTGTTTTTTTTAGTTTTGGTATGTAATGAAAAGTTCAAATTGGCTTAAAAGCAAAGATCTCTGTGTTGAAGGACCTGAAGATTTGAAAAAATATGGTGTGCCTGCTATACTTAAACCTTGCAGAAATATAAAACATCAGGTAATTTTGTATTACTTTGACAATTATTACATATGAAAAAAATACATACATACATACATACATACATACATACATACATACATACATACATACATACATACTCTACTTTTTATAGGTTTTTTTTAAAAAATGAATCCCAATAAGGCTACAAGCAACCACTATTTAAATTGGAACAGTTTCAGTTAAAGGATGCACGTTAGCTAAATGAAGAGTCACTAGAGATTGAGTTTTGGTTGATGGAACAAGTGACGATAGCTTGCTTGAGGTGTTATTTGTAAAAAATAGCTTCACCATGGTGTTATTTGTAAAAAAGACAAATATAATAGAGACAACCTTAGCATAATACTAACTTTGCAATGAGTTGTATGTATGGTTTCTTTAAGTGGTCAGTAGGAAGATAAAGATAATTTGAGAAGAAGAGGACTCAGTAAGAGTGTTACCCTTCATAATAAATGATATTGATAATATTACAATGAATGTAATATTGTCAATAATAGAAGTGAGATTAAAAAGAAGATCAGCATGCCAATTTTTGATATACCATGAAGAATAACCCTTTTGTCACTGCTTCTGTCTATTCCATGATAGAACCCTTTTGTTGCCTCTTCTGTCTAATGCATGATAGAGGTCACTGCTTTTGTCTTACACATGATAGAACCTTTTTGTCAAATTATCAAAGAAATTTAAACTCAAATTTTTATTCACGTAAATTTAAAATAAATTTACGTGAATAAAAATTTGAACTCCTGAATTTTTTATTCATGTAAATTACTGAGTAAAAGCAATTGCTCATTTTTATTATAATCAGTGTGAACTCAGAAGTGTGATAATAAGTTGTTATAATCATTTTTATTATAATCACTCAGAAGTGTGATAATAATGTGAAACCTCATATAGAAGAAGTATAAAATTAAAGTTTTATTGAGATCATAACATAAATTGAACCACTTAATTTGTAAGAAACCTAAGCACAAGCTAGGGTCAGAGAAAAAACACTAGTTATGGAATGCAGGTAAATGATTAGGGTTGTCTGGAAAATGTATCACAAAGTTAATTGTCTAAGTAAATGATTTAGAAAGACAAAAATTTTGAGTTTAAGAGCCAGCAGAATTAGCAGTACTATAGGCAAGCCATTCAGTGTGATAAACATTAAAATGACCAATAACAACAATATTGGCTGAGCTGGTGGAGTGAAAGAAAGACCTTGACCATGTTAATCGGAAACAACAACAAAAAGAGTGTAGTATTAAATAGAATAATGAAAAGCAAAAGAAAGGTACGGAGAGGTGCAAGTTGTCGAGTAGAAAGCAAGAAAATTTTTGTGACATTATAAATTCATAAATTAAACTTTTTCAGTTTTACAAATAAATATATTTATTTAGTTTTATTTGGTATAAAATTATTTTTTTGCATTTAAAATGGTTTTTGTTAAGTGTTTCCTCTAATTTGTACAAAAAACTTTTGTGACTGACTGTGTGTGGAACCTCGTTGTTTATCATAGTTCTTTACCTTTTTACCATGATAATACTAAAAGACTTCACAGGTATTTTTTTTATTTGGAAAAAATTTTATTTTAATGCATCTAACCAAAGATTTTTTGCTAAATACATTTTTGTTGCATTTTAATGGTACAATTTTAAACTTTAAAAGCATTCTTTAACTAGAATTTCTTAAAATTGTATCTGTATCTTCAAAGAAAAGTCTAATCTTTTTATGACAATTTTTGATTCAATAAAACGACACTAATATTTTACTTATTATTCTTGTATATTTAGTTACTTAACCTCAATTTATTTAAAAATAATAAATAGATCCTCTTACAACTAACTATTTCAAACATCTGTTATATTTCTATAGAGTAAGGATAGAAGTGCTGCTAACTTTTTCTTTGATTCCTTGCGTGTTCTATTTTTTAGTCAATGATTTTTCTTACCCAAAAGAAACAATGCTGCTCTAAGAGCCAATATGACTTTCAGTCTAGTCTGTACCTAAATGCTATGCTGCTCTAAGAGCCAATATACTTCTCTGTCTACTCTGTACCTAAAGCATACTACTCGTTCAGCAATTTATGTTGTGCAAAAACTTTTCTTTTAGAATATTTAAATTGTTTTTTGATATTGTTTAGTCAATGTTTATTTACCATGGTAACTGCATTTGAGAAATTATTTATTTTTAAATAAAAAAGGTTGTTAAATAGTTTTTTTTTTTTTTTTTTAACTAAAAAACTTTAAACATGGTTTTGAAAATTAAACATTTAATTTTGATTTTAAAGGATTTGTTAATTGGCTTCACAATATTTCTTACAGAAATAGTTTTTTTCTTATTATTTGAAAACTAATTCATCACTTAAAAACATTAAAAAAGACTCCATCATAGTTTATAATCCCTGATAGCATCTAAAAAACATATTTAAAACATGTGAAGCAACAAAAAAAAAAAAAAAAATTTTTAAGAAAAGAGAAATGTTTTTGTTTAAGAAATTTTCATTTCACAAATGTAATTAAAGTTTTTTCTTTCTTATTAATTCAATATCGTGTAAAGTTTTATTTTAAATTTTATTTATAAAAAAATTTTATGAACAAAACAAAAAATTTATTTATGAACATAAGAAAAATTTATTTATGAAAATAAATTTAAAAAAATAAAAATATTTGAAAATAAAATATTTGATATATATTTATAAATTTTTTATGTTCATTAAAATACTTCTTTAATATGTATTTGAAAAAAAAAAAAACTTAAACGCGATGAAGCAAAAAAAAGGTTATTCTATTACAGTTGTACTCATGGGGTGTCATGGGGTGTCTAAATATGTTTGAGTTATTGAATTAAAGGAGTTCAACCCTAAATAATAAACAATGACATGACAGAACCAAAGAATTTGTTCAATATAAATGATCTTTCGAATTATAGGAGTTCAAGCGACAAAAGTTCAACTCTATGCATAAGATTGTTTTTAGAAATAAATAATAAAGTTAATCTTTTTCAAGTATCGAGTTGGGGTTTATAAAGAGCTACTTTGTTGACGCATGTGTCATGAGAGCGCTATTGAAGATATGGTTTCAAAACATTTGTCAATGAAAGATCATTGTATAATAAATAGTAAACTTTTTATAGGCAGTCTTTACTTAAATCTCATGATCACTCTTACAAACATTATCTCGAGTGCGCCTAATCACACTTGGTGACAACATTACAATTTTTCCAGTGCAAAATAACATGTTGGGTAATTTTCTTTATCAAAAGCTCTAAGTGCATATATATAGGGTTAGGACTATTGTAATTGTAATTGTAAAAATTAAATACAATTACATATTACAATACAATAATATTGTATTGTAATATTACAGGAACAATAAAAAAATTTTATTTTAATATTGTATTGCTATGATGAAAAACAATTACAATAAGTATTGTATTGTTTTTTTTCTAACAATACAACAGAATTCGAGAACTATTGTATTGTATCGTTTCAATGAAATAAAATTACAATAACTATTGTATTGTTTTGATGAAAGCAGCTACAATAACTATTGTAGTGTATTACTTTACATTAAAGTAGAAAAGCTAACGTATTTTAACGTATTTGTATTCATCTCTGACGCACTTACTATTATTTTTGTTCTTTTTTATTTACGGATTTGCAATATATTGCAAATTTTATTTTTTACATATTTAGATTTTGCATCACCTATCTTGTTATGTATTTCTAAGCTCCAAATGGCCGCAAAATATTGCCTGTCTGATGATAAAATAATTTACATTCATAAATTATTTTATTCAGCCCGATTATTTTTTTCTCTTGATTTTAATGCTGCAAAGGAACTTAAAATACATATGAAAATTAACTTTAGTAACACAAACAGTTAAACATAATAATTCTTAAATAAAAAAGTTAATGTCTTGAAAAATTGAAGAACCAACATAAAAAAATTAATGATGACGAAACGAAGAGCCAAACGGAGATTTTTCTTGATGCATTTAAGGCCTGAAAATAAAACAAAATGTTAACCGTACTATTTTTAACAATATCTTCATACTCATTATTTTTCCAAATATCTCATACTTTTTCTTACAAAGATTTTAATTGCTAAAAGTTATACTGGAATGAGTTGTGTTTATAAGATTTTAGTATAAGGATAAGACTATTAGATATTTAATATTTCCAATGAATAAATACCTGCACCTTAAAGTTGTCTTTGTTTGAATTCAGGGTGATTTGTAATCATCATTATCATCAAAACTCTGACTTAAACCACTGGAGACCTGATTAAGTTGATCTTCATCATCTTCTGAATCAATTTCTTCATTGGCTATGAGATGCATTGCGCTTAACTGGAGTTGAGGTTCTGCTTGAAGAGGCAGCAGACATGGAACTGATCATTGAAGCATCTAAATCTCCAAAGCTGGCTGCTCTTTGATGCGGATCAGACTTAGATGGACCTTCAAGTTGACCTGAATAATATTGTTTCAGCATTTTTACTCTTCTTGATACTTTGTATCAAAATATAATAGGATATTTCCTAACAGTTTTAGATTAAAGATTTGCATGAAAAATAAAATCTAACTTTTTAAATTAACCTTTTGACAGTTTTATAATTTTTATTTGAATTTATAATCAAATTTTTTAAATTTAAATTATTCAAGTTAAATTAAAATCACAAATCAAATTAAAAGAATTAAAAATATAAATTTGTTACAGCAACCAACAAATCCTCTAACAAACTGCGTTTACCTGATTCAAGTTGTAAATCCCACTGAATTATGACTTTGCTGCTGTTGTGATGTATATACACCAGACGAGCCACATTAGTTGGGTCTAAACGACTTAGTAGTGGAGTTACAATATTTCCTGCTTCTGAGAAAACTGGTTCTACTGCAGAAGATGCTGTGATGGATAGCACAGCACGAGCAGCTGTAGACAAAAGTGGAAATCGAAATTCATTTTGTTTCCACCAGCTTAGGACATCAGTATTCTTTGGCACTTTGACCTTTGAAAAAGCTACCATTCTATTAAAATATAAGGTTTCTCTTCAGCTCCAACCATTGGGTCTGTTGCTTTTTCTTCACCTCTGCAGGCTTCATAAAGGGGATCGTTTTCATGGGAAAACTCCTCAAAAACCTCTGGGCGTGTTGCAGAGGTCCATTTTTTGTAGGAAGAATGTTCATTAATAATTTCTCGTTTGACTTTTTCGAATAATGCCAGGGAGAATCGACGTAGAGCCACACCATGGTAACGTGGATCTAAAAAGTTGGCTTAAGCAAAAGTTTTCTCATCGCAGCCATGATTCTTAAACTTTTCTTCAAGCTTGGACAAAACAGCTGTACAGTAGTTCTTCACATCTTCTGTGTTTTCTTCTGTCATGCTGTCAGAAAAAATTTTGTGCAAGTTGAACACTTCGGGAATGACTTCATGAATTGATGGCTTGTCTTCAACAGACAAGGTGTTGATTGCGTCATTAAGACGTTTCATCAAGGGCAAACCTTTCTGCCAGATTTTAAAAATGGGTTCATCAGGAATTTCTCTCCACCAGGTATTCTGCTTGTCAGGGAATTCATTTTTCTTTTTTTTTCTTTGTATGTACAGAAGAATAGGCGTCGCATCTAAAATTGATTTTAAGCAAAAAAAACATACTATTCTAGCGTGTCTTGACAAAGCTTTGAATTTTATAGAGTGGTCCTTTAAACAAATTTTTTTGTTACAAGTGCGCTGCAGTTGAAAATTAATTAAACCAAGCACTAAAAAAAGATATAAAAATTAAGAATATACTAATAAAATATATAATTTGTAATTAACTTTCAAAATTTTGACAACTTAAAAAATATATATTTTTTAAGTAAAATTTAATAGTAAAATTTTTAAAGAATTTCTAGAATGTTTCCAATGACATCATGCACTAAAACTCCTATGAATTAAACGCGCTTGATTAAATTATCAAGTGTGCGTCTGGAAAATCGCGTTTATTTTACATACTCAAAATACCACAGAAAACAGAGAAGACGAGCTTCGACTAAAACAACAAGATTTGTTTTTCTTGGTATACATTTCTTAATTAGTTTTAATCAAAAAAAATTTGCTCAGACGTTTTTTTTTAACATTCTCTTTAATATGAACACAACATGTCTTGGGACTTGGTAGTCCCTTTAAGTACTCTCTTAAAATTTGCGCTTTTGAAATTTAAGATTTCAGGCTTAACACTGTGAAGAAACATTTCCTTCACAAGCTAAAAAAAATGAATCATAAAACTTACCTTTTTACTGCATTTGATTTTGAATCTTTCAAAAATTGAAATTTTCTTTTGACTCAGAAAGTTTAACTTGTCACGCTTTAATATTGACACGCTTTAATATTGTCTTGACATGTAATTCCGTGTCAATTCTTCCGCGGAAGAATTATTTATTATGTAATAAAAAACCATGACTATAAAACATAAAACAGCGATTATCTTTTTCTAGATATTTCTGGAATTCCGGATATTTTTCTCAACTTTAAGTTTTTCCGGATATCCAAAACATTTTCCATACATACAAGTTTAGGTGTATATTTTTGTAATATTCTTCTTTTTTCACTCATCACTCAAAACTAAAAAAAGTTAAATAAAAAATTATAAAACAATTCTGTTAAAAGCAAAATTAAGAGGGAAATATATCTCGGATTTTTTCCGGATATTCTACCCAAACAGTTTTCCGGATTTTTAAAATATGGTCTGGATGATCTATGATAAAAAAATCTAATTTGTACTAGTCGGCTGGAAAGACTGTCTAAAATTAAAGTTAAAATATAATTTTAGACTTACCAAAGTCTAAAATTTTAGTTAATTAAACGTTTATTGTGTAAATACTAAGTAGATAGCAACTCAACATAAAATATTTTTTGAATCAAGTAAAATCGGTTGCACCCGAGAATGAACCACAAAATATTTAAGAAGATTTTATTTAATAATATATTATGTAAGTTTCAACTAATATAATTAATGAAATTCTATAGAAGTTTTGGTATCCTCTTTTTATAATACAAGACTTTACTTATAAATAGTTTTATTAGAAATTTTCCGAATTATAAATTGCTAATTCAGGGTAATTTCGTAGCAATAAGGTTTTTAGTTTTCACTCATTGTGGTATTTTATTGGTACTATTGCGTAAGGTATACATTCGCAAATGTTCTTTTAATAATTAATCCGTACCAAATAAAAAGAGAGTAGTTTTTAATTTATTTATTTTGTTTGCAGATTAAAATATTTGAAGATAGCAAGCGCTACTCTACATGCTAC